CATTTAACAAAGAATGTGATTTTTCACCAGGGTAATCGATTAATTTCAGCAATAATCGATTAACACGATGGTTTTTCACCTTTTCAACCTATTTTCTAAATGGTAATTGGTTAACACGAGTGGTAATCGACTATCACAGAGAGTATGATCTTTTCAACCTATTTCACTCACACAAATATGGTTTGCATACACAATTCATTTATTAACAGATACACAAGTATATATTGAAATTTAGGCAAGGTTATACTCACTAATGATACTGAGATTGGTTCTAAGCTTGTAATACCTTTCCTTTGGTAGTGGCTTTGTTAATATATCAACCAATTGATTTTCCAAATCAATAAACTCAATATTGCAATCACCTTTTTCCACGTGATCTCTTATGAAATGATGTCGTACCTTAATATGCTTTGTTCTTGAGTCCATAATTGGGTTCTTTGAGATGTTGATAGCACTTATGTTGTCATATTTTTGTGGAATGTGATCTAGCTTCAGTCCATAGTCTTGAAGTTGATGCTTGATCCATATAGCTCGAGCACAACAGCTCCCAGCTGCTATATATTCAGCTTTAGTTGTAGAAAGTGCTACACAAGCTTATTTCTTGCTATGCCAAGATACAAGACATTCTCCAAATATATGACATGTATTGCTAGTGTTTTTTCTATCTAACTTGCAACATTGAGGGTTCCTTTGAGATACTTCATGATTTTTTTCACAGCTTTCAAGTGTGATTCCTTAGGAGTAGAATGAAATCTAGCACCATGCACACACTAAACATTATGTCTAGTCTACTTGCTGTGAGATATAAGAGAGATCCAATGATTCCTCTATATCTTGATTCTTTTACTTCCTTTCCTGCAACATCATTGTCTAGATAATAGTTAGTGGACATAGGGATGTTTAAGATTTTACAGTTCTCCATCTCAGACTTCTTTAGAAGCTCTTTGCTGTACTTGGTTTGATGTAGAAAGATTCCCTTCTTCATTTGTTTTATCTGTAATCCAAAGAAGAAACTTAATTCTCCCATCATTGACATATCAAACTCACCCTACATACTTAAAACAAATTATTCACAAAGAGATGTGTTAGTTGACCCAAAAATTATGTCATCAACATAAACTTGAACTAACAAAATATCTTTTGAGGCTCTTTTTATGAAAACAGTTTTGTCAACATTGTCTCTTTGAAAGTCTTGAGACAAGAGAAACTTGCTCAGTATTTCATACCATTGTATATAATACAACTTGTTGAAGTATTTCAAGGATATATCACTTTCTAAGGTAAGGAGGAGGAGAACTTTATCTTTTTAAAATTTTATATGCTACTATATGTTTATTTAATTATGTTATATTTTGTGTGTATTTATTTAGTGAGATGTCCCTAACCTCATTTATTTGCTTAATCTATGATAATTTTTACTCATAATAATTAATGAGGTGTTCCTAGTTTGTGTTATTTAATTATTTTTATGATTAACTATAATATAGTTTTGTTAAAATATCTTTGACTCGTCTTATTGTTATTTCTTCATGTATTTATAAAGATAAATATTATTTTATGACCATAAGAATGAAAGTTTGAATTAATTTGTAGTTGGAGGTTTACCTTGGGGATTTAAATGAGTAAAGATTTAAGGTGAAATAATCTTTAGTTATTTGTTATTATAATGCTTATTTATCCTGACTAGTCACTGTATAATTCAATTTTTTATTTTTTATATCAAGAAAAATTGATATATAATTATTAGTATTAAATATTTCTATGCATATTATGTCATTAGTGATATTTATTGGATAATTGTTCTCACTCCTTATGTTTCTTGTGTAATATATGTAATTAATTTATAAAAATAAATAAATAAATATAGATGGACATTTCAACAATTCCAACTCTTTTCCCTTTAGTAATCTCTACAGTTTTCTCTGGTACAACGTGGAGTATTGACGCTTTAGCCAACTCAGTTACCTTCAATGGAGTAGCTGTGTCTTCATTCACCTTTTCTCCAAACCAAGAAATTCCAACTGTGATAGATGGGCCTATAGTTGTTACTTTTTATTTACCTCCTGCAAATCATGTGAATCCTATTGTAAATTTATTTCAACCACCTATGTAATTTTTATAGTAGAAAAGAAACTATGGTATGTAAATATGTACGTATTGTAAATATTTTTAGAATAATATGTAATGTAAAAATTAAAATCATATGTGAGATATAAGAAGTTATAATTAAGTACTAGTCTAATATGTAAATAATGTAATAGATATGTAAAAAGTAAGTAACTACGCACGTAATGGTAAATATTTTTAGTTTGTTATTATGTATAACATTATTAATAATATGACTAGGCGTTACATTTTAATGGTATCAGAGCAACGTTCCATGTGTAACTTGGGGAAATGTGCTAACCATATTTCTAGTATGATAAACTAACCTATGAAAATTTCAGATGGCAGGAAGAAGAAATACAGAATTGACTGAGGCTGTGCAAGCTATTAAGGACATGGCTGCAACCTCGTTAAGGAATCAAAGACTAGAAGAAATGGGGGAGTCTCAAGGATTGGTTAAATTTAGGAGAAATAAACCTTCCCATTTTGATGGAGGATATAATCCTGAAAAAGTTGAATTATGGATTAAAGAAATAGAAAAGATATTTCGAGCCATGAACTGTCCTGATAACCAAAATAATGAATATATATTTCTTTTAAATTTTGGTTACTTTATTCAAGATAAACAAATAAATATAATTTTTTTATACATTAGGATTCTTATAGTTGAACAAAACAAAATATTGTAATTCAAATATTTTTTATAATTTTCTAGAATAATATTTTAATTAATTTTATAATTTTTTTAAATATTTTAATTATTCTTATATATTTTCAAGAATAACATTTTGATTATGTATAAAAATATATACATCTATATATATATTTTAAATTTTTTGAAATTTTTTTTTAGTGATAATATATAATACAACTTGTTGAAGTATTTCAAGGATATATCACTTTCTAAGGTAAGGAGGAGGAGAACTTTATCTTTTTAAAATTTTATATGCTACTATATGTTTATTTAATTATGTTATATTTTGTGTGTATTTATTTAGTGAGATGTCCCTAACCTCATTTATTTGCTTAATCTATGATAATTTTTACTCATAATAATTAATGAGGTGTTCCTAGTTTGTGTTATTTAATTATTTTTATGATTAACTATAATATAGTTTTGTTAAAATATCTTTGACTCGTCTTATTGTTATTTCTTCATGTATTTATAAAGATAAATATTATTTTATGACCATAAGAATGAAAGTTTGAATTAATTTGTAGTTGGAGGTTTACCTTGGGGATTTAAATGAGTAAAGATTTAAGGTGAAATAATCTTTAGTTATTTGTTATTATAATGCTTATTTATCCTGACTAGTCACTGTATAATTCAATTTTTTATTTTTTATATCAAGAAAAATTGATATATAATTATTAGTATTAAATATTTCTATGCATATTATGTCATTAGTGATATTTATTGGATAATTGTTCTCACTCCTTATGTTTCTTGTGTAATATATGTAATTAATTTATAAAAATAAATAAATAAATATAGATGGACATTTCAACAATTCCAACTCTTTTCCCTTTAGTAATCTCTACAGTTTTCTCTGGTACAACGTGGAGTATTGACGCTTTAGCCAACTCAGTTACCTTCAATGGAGTAGCTGTGTCTTCATTCACCTTTTCTCCAAACCAAGAAATTCCAACTGTGATAGATGGGCCTATAGTTGTTACTTTTTATTTACCTCCTGCAAATCATGTGAATCCTATTGTAAATTTATTTCAACCACCTATGTAATTTTTATAGTAGAAAAGAAACTATGGTATGTAAATATGTACGTATTGTAAATATTTTTAGAATAATATGTAATGTAAAAATTAAAATCATATGTGAGATATAAGAAGTTATAATTAAGTACTAGTCTAATATGTAAATAATGTAATAGATATGTAAAAAGTAAGTAACTACGCACGTAATGGTAAATATTTTTAGTTTGTTATTATGTATAACATTATTAATAATATGACTAGGCGTTACATTTTAATGGTATCAGAGCAACGTTCCATGTGTAACTTGGGGAAATGTGCTAACCATATTTCTAGTATTCGCGTATAGAGAGCAAGGGTTCAGAAACCTGAAGGAGCAAACGAACAACAATAGCTGGAGGTTGGTCCTTTAATTTTCGCAATTATGAGAATGATCTGAATGTGTTTGCTTTTGATTTTGCCATGTTTAGATCTTTAGAATATTATTTCTTTCATGACCATCCCAAATATCCTTAACTTTCACCACCCACAGATTAAACCAAACACTCAACTCTCCATCCCTCGGCTTAATGCGTAAACCATCTTCCAACACAAGAAAAGCTCTAAGAATAGCATTCCAAGTTGAAAATCCTTTTTGATTTTTAACTTGAAATAAAGAGTCGTGTTGCAAATGTATTTTACCCAAAATTGAAACCTAATGTTGATTTTTATTAGATATAATTTCAATAATAGTCATTTATTTGTTACTCCTTTCAATTTTTTTTTATTTATTGAATTTTTAGTAAAGTTTTGTTTCTATTAACTTATTATTTTAAATTTTAAGACAACATTCATTCTTATATTATCAATAATATATTTATATCTCACATAATTTTTAATTAATTTATACATGATAACTAATATAGATTTATTATGAAACAAAAATAAAAATATTATATTTTTTAATTTATATAAAATAACCTTAAACAATTATCTTAAAAAAAGGGCGTTAGTATTACTTTATATGAAATTATGAAGAAAAAAATAAATAAAGAATTAATTATTTATATATTATTAATATAAAATTTTTTATACTAATAATTAATTATATCTTTTAAATTATTTTATTTTATTTTTATTTAATTAAATAAGCAACATGTTACTAATAACAAAAATTTTAACCATCAACCCTATGGATTGCAAACCCCTGGCTAAGTTTGTCTTCAACCATCTAAATCCCTAACCAGACCTTTCCCTCCATTTACTCTCCTTCTCTCGAAAAAACAGTCACCCAAATTATCAACAAATTCAATTCAGAAATTCACCAAACCCATTTTCATTTCTCCCACTAATTTATATAATTCCTCGTACTAAACAAAACCAAAAACCCTAATACAAATGCTCCCCTTTTGTGTCCTCTTTCCTTCTCCCAATTGAACCCTTTCTTTTTTCCTCATCACCCATTCCAATGGCTAGAGGCCTCTTCCACTTGTGCACACGCAAGAGAACCCTCTCAAAGCTTCAAGCTCTTCTCTTCAACCACTCCCAATTCCACACTTTTCAAAACCGGGTTTCCCCTATTTCGACCCGTTTCCCGAGCCCGCTGTTCCACCACAGATTCTCCCAAAGTTCGAGACTTTCCGATGAAAGATTCCGCCCCATCAGACCGTTTTCTGCCGCCGGCTACGGGGGCGGCGCCGCTGAGACGCCGGAAGGCGAGCTCGACGCAGATTCTGGTAAGGGCATTGATTTTGAGCTTGGAAATGAGGTTTTTGATAGTGTCCGTGGTTTTTCTGAACATGGGGTTGTTGAAAATGATGGTAGTAATGAATGCAATTTAGAGATTGTTGATTCTGTGGAATGTAGTACTAGTAGTAATGGTAGTGGTAACGATATCAATGAGTTAGGGAAGAAGAGTGAGGAATTTTTGCACGTGGCATCACGTGACCCTGTCGAATTGTACCACGAAATTCGGAGTGTGGAAAGAGCTGCATGGTTGGATAGGTCAGAGGTGGAAGTGTTGCAAGAAGTGTGCCATTGGTTTGCCAAATCAGGTTGGGCATCCAATCAGGCCCTTGCCATTTACATTGGTTTGTCATTTTTCCCCACTGCAGCTCACAAGTTCCAGAACTTTCTGAAAAGGAAGTGCCCTTCTGATGTTGCCAAGTACTTGGTGTCACTTGGGCCCAGCGACGAGGCTGTGAGGTTTTTGTTTCCAATATTTGTGGAGTTTTGTTTGGAGAATTTTCCTGATGAAATCAAGAGGTTCAGGGATATGGTTGAGTCGGCCGACCTCACGAAGCCTCACACTTGGTTTCCATTTGCAAGGGCGATGAAACGGAAGATAATTTATCATTGTGGGCCGACAAATAGTGGCAAGACGTATAATGCTTTGCAGCGGTTTATGGAGGCGAAGAGTGGTGTTTATTGTAGTCCGCTTAGGTTGTTGGCTATGGAAGTTTTTGACAAGGTTAATGCCAAGGGGATTTATTGCAGCCTGCTAACTGGACAAGAAAAGAAGCGTGTGCCGTTCTCAAATCATGTTGCGTGTACTGTGGAAATGGCATCGACTCAGGAATTGTATGAAGTGGCTGTTATTGATGAGATTCAGATGATGGCAGATCCGCACAGGGGGTATGCATGGACAAGGGCTCTCCTTGGATTGAAGGCTGATGAGATACATTTGTGCGGTGATCCTAGTGTTTTGGATATTGTCAAAAGGATTTGTCAAGACACGGGAGATGAGTTGTGTGAGCAGCACTATGAGAGGTTCAAACCGTTGGTGGTCGAAGCGAAGACCCTGCTTGGAAATCTTGAAAATATTCGGTCTGGGGATTGTGTAGTTGCGTTCTCAAGGAGAGAGATATTTGAGGTTAAATTGGCCATTGAGAAACAGACTAAACACCGTTGTTGTGTGATATATGGTGCTCTGCCACCTGAAACTCGTAGACTGCAGGCTAGTTTGTTCAACAATCAAAGTAATGAATATGACGTTTTGGTGGCTAGTGATGCAGTGGGAATGGGCCTGAACCTTAACATTAGAAGGGTGATTTTTAATGGCCTTTCAAAGTACAATGGTGACAAAATGGTTCCAGTTCCAGCATCACAGGTTAAGCAAATTGCGGGAAGAGCTGGTCGGAGAGGATGCCTTTATCCTGATGGACTTGCCACAACCTTGCATTTAGATGATTTGGAATACATGATTGAGTGTTTGAAACAACCTTTTGATAACGTAAAAAGGGTAGGCCTTTTTCCATTTTATGAGCAGGTTGAATTGTTTGCTGGGCAACTTCCTGATTTGTCATTCAAGCAGATTTTAGATAAATTTGGTGAAAATTGCCGTTTGGATGGGTCATACTTTTTGTGTCAACATGATCATATCAAGAAAATTGCTAATATGTTAGAGAAGGTCCAAGGATTATCACTGGAGGATCGTTTTAACTTTTGTTTTGCTCCTGTTAATGTCAGAGACCCAAAAGCTATGTACCATTTACTTAGATATGCCACATCATTTGGTCAGAAGCTCCCTGTAAATGTTGCTATGGGCATGCCAAAAAGTTCTGCGCGGAATGATGCAGAACTTCTAGACCTTGAGACTAGGCATCAGGTATTATCTATGTATTTGTGGTTATCAAACCACTTTGATGAGGAGACGTTTCCATATGTGAAGAAAGTTGAGGCAATGGCGTCATGTATTGCTGACTTACTGGGGCAATCACTTGTCAAAGCTAATTGGAAACCTGAATCAAGGAATAAAGGGAAACCCAAAGCTGAAAAAAGTGAAGTGCAACCAGAAACAAGGAGTGCAGTTGAATTACAGACTGAGAAAAGGGAAATGGGCTATTCAAGGCCCCAGTCACTTTTAAAATTATACGAGAAGTAAGAATTCCTTGGTATATCTACCTTCTTTATCTAAGTGTTTCTTTAATTTCTCTAAATGTTGAATGCAAACATCTCTCCTTTTCTAGCTTTTGGATTTTCGGCTGGGGTTGGGTGGTTGTTTGGTGGAGAGGTTCAATATCTTGCAGGGAGAAATATTAGCAACAGTTCAACACATTCTCATTGGTTTATTTTCTAAAAGTCAAATTAGTTACATATATTGTCAATGGATCACTTTTTTAAGCAAGTAATAACTTTTTAAGGAATGGACCAATAATGAAAATGTATCAAAGAGTATATTGCTAGCATTTGTCTAATTATGGAGTTGGTGAGAACACTGTTGTTAATGCGAGGTTGTTATACAAGTGATACAATTGGAGGTCGAACCTTTATTTCTGAAATAGGAAATAAGAATGGCCCATGGATAAAGAAATAATTACTTTGGAAGTCAGAAAGTTTCTGATTTATCTGATATTAGTGAAGAATGATTCAGAAATCTACAATTAAGTTAGATGTTTTCAATGCTCGGTGGCTCTTGCTCTATGGATTCAAGGGCTGAAATTTAATCATCATTCTCTATCTTCTTTACATATCAAACTAAGAAATCAACCAATAGAGTAGGCTTAATGGTGGGGATTGGAGTAATATGTACAAGATCTTAGATTCGAGTTTTGTTGTTGTCATTGTAATTCCTACTTATATAAAAAAAAAACTAAGAAATCTCTATTCCTACATAATAGAGGTGGAATAGAATCAACGTTCTGCATACGAATTGTGCTCTAACATTGTGATTTGCGATTGACTTCAAGATAAATAAAGTAGGTGCCTGTTTTAATGTTCAATGGTTTTAGGTACCTCTATATTATTCTACTATTATTTAACTGATAAATCATAATTATAACAATGATGAAGTATTTTAATATTTAACACATAATTATAAATTCATGTACCAATGTAATTATTTACAATGCTTGTAGTTGGGACAGCTAGGACCATCATTCATAATTATAAGATTAATCAGTCACTAGTACTTGCAAGTGCTATACAGAAAAATAAATAAAACCAACTGGCTCTTTGTTTCGTCACTTGACCTCTACTTTTTTGAATTGTACATGTGTTCAAGATTCATAGTTTTTTATGTGGCCTAATATTCCTTTTTTCTGTATTCTGTTTATCTATTCTATCCCTAGATCTTTGTTACCTGACTATTTTATTTTTTGTTATTCAGGAAACGGCATGAAAAATCCTTACAGCTTGATCATTCAAAAAAAGTAGCTACATGATGTGATGACTTTGGAGGTAGTTCTGCTAATACTCTCCCTTATGTTAGGGACATAGACTTGGAATTTATTTTCGGTGTGATAATTACCCTGCCAAATCAATATAGACCTAAGTTTGATCATATAGGAATTTCCTGAAATGAATATCAATAGTAGCACTTACTTTTTACTTCAATGGCACCTTCTTCCCATTTTTAAATAATTTTATATGATTGGGATTTTCAACAGTATTAACCAAAGCCACGAGGACAACTAATAGTAAAACCAGTAGGAACATGAAGACAACTAAGGATTTTGTTTTTATTTTTATCATTTCCCATGATGCATGAATAGATGCCTCATCAGGAAGGTTCTGTGCACTACCTTATTGAGTTTTGTAGAAAAATCGGATAATAAATGAATTCCATGTGATGGTTTAGTCTCTTTTTTTGGCTTAAATATGTTATATCCCTCAAATATAAAGTAAATTTGTTTTTGGTCACTCAAATTAAATATTGATTCTTTGTCCTGAAATTTGAAAAAAAGTTTATTTTAGCCCCTTAGCCCAAATGTTAGTGAAACTATAAAAGAAAAACTTATTACTAAATTTGTCTCTCAAAATCTATCTACTAAAGTCTTTGTTATTAAAAATATCATATTAAACTTAACTAATATTGTATAGTTAGCTCAATTCATTATTGTCAGCGATGCTACTTGTGGTCCTGGAAGGTTAAAACAAGTTTTTTCAAATTACGGGGGATAAAATCATCAAATTTAAATTTAAGAGGCCAAAAACAAATTTACTTTAGGGACTAAAGATATATTTAAATATTTTTTTCCATTGTTGCATATGAAGTTCCACTTGATTCAATAAATGTTTTCTGCTGTAGTTCCTGTAATCTGTAAATTAGTTCCCTCTAAGAACCATAACGTTTTTGGGGTTTCATCTTAGGTGTGCAGGTAATTTATCAACGATCACTGCAACATAACAACTCATACGCATTTGAATAAATTAATTCAATTTTATTAGCCAAAGCTGTGGTTAGACCTTGTTGGCGCGAAGCTGCATCAGACCCAAAAAGAAAGAAAAAAAATAAAAGACCTCGTTAGGAATGAAGGATAGTGACATCTGAGAATCAACCAGGGGCCAGCGTTGTGTATCCTGTTTGTTTATGTAGATAAAACAAATTTGGGTGTTGGTGTGATGCTGTAAGTGTTCTGTTTTATACTCAAATCCAATGTAGCCTAGAATTTTAGTTGAATTCTTTATATACTGATACATCTGAATAGAGGGTTGAATGTTTTAGGCCATCATTCTTATTATGCTTTGGTTGAGGGTGTGAAAGGGGCATGACTAGGACCTAGGATGTAATTTAGTTTAACTCCTTGAATATCCTCTTTTTGTGCCGAATGCACTTGTTTGAACAAGCTTATGTCAAGGAATAGTTAAGGCTGTTGCACTGACCTTAGCATTTTTTTTTTAAATTATTAAAATCATGTTTTACAATTTTAGATATTAAATTGTGTCACACTTGTTCCCTGTAACGATTTATTTTACTGCTATTAGAAATAATGAAGGTGCCAGTGAGTATTGTTTGAGATGGATTTGAAAACGAAGAGATTATACATGATATAGATTTGTAGATTTTGTGATAACGAGGTGTAAAAGTGGAGTGAAGTTCTGATTTGTGCAGCTTAACAATGAGCAAATAGGTCAATCACCATTTCAGTGAAGGGGTTGATATGGAAAAGCTTATGATCCGTTAACTAATCTCTTTATGCCTGTAGTTATGCTTTCATCGCATGTAAGTTTTACCAAATGTGTTTCAAGAAAATTTTTGTAAGATATAAAATAGGGTAAAAATTACGGTGGACAAGTTTATCATATTGTTCATCGGTAGACAAATGAATAATAATTATTTTTATTTTTTATTTAAATTATTTAAAATTACTAAAAAATTCTTTTTTTATAAGCTGCTTAGACTTAATTTCAGTAACTATCGCTTGTTCTTCACTCTGGTGGCAATGCACTCGTCATGAACCCACTCGTTGAGGACAACTACTTGTTGGTTGTCATGGTGAACATAGGTGAGGTGGAAGTTGTACTCATAGGCATTGTAGATGACAAGGTGGTGGTGGTTGCAAACGATAGCAAGTCTGGCACAAGCATCGCAGACAATAAGGTGGTGGTGGTTGCTGACAATGGTGGGCTTGGCATAGGCGATACAAGGAGCCAAATTGTAGGGGAGGGCGACGGCACGAGGTTCTCGTGATAGGCATGGACAATTTCAATGGCGAAGTTTGGTAGGGTTTCAACAAAGAAAGAGGAAGTCAAAGGGATCTTGCTCATTCAACTTCCTCGTTGGAGTCAAGGTCACTATTATTGTTGGAGTAAGTGCTTAATGGGAAGAAATGTTAGGGGTTTGGGGCTTGCGGGGTTTGTAGCTTGCCCTTTCTCCCTCTTTGTCATGCACCTTCTCCTTCTTTTGCCTAAAATCCAAACTCCATTTCCTTCTCCTTGGCATCTATCACGAATACGTTGTTGTCAAGGATGAAGACACTATTATAAGCATGGTCGTAGAGTTCCTCGTAGGCGAAGATGGTCTTGTCATCAGTCTTGAGGGGTTCGTTGTTAAGGTTGACATAGTTGAAGGAAATTGGAGTTGATGGAGTTGAAGGAAGTTGGGGTTGACAAAGACGATGGTGGAGGTGTCGAAGAAGAAGATTAGAGTTAATGGTAGGGGTGATAAAGGATTTTTTTTAGACAAAATGGTCATTTACCGTCAAAAAATAAAATTAATACATTAATAAAAAAATATATCATCAAATAAATTTAAATCGCTTAATTTAATTATTTATATATCTAATGGTCTTTTTAACTTCACCACCAATAAACAACATGAAAAACATACTGTTTTATTGATCCACCCATGAACCATATGATATATGACTGCATTGTAGATCTCATTATAAGAGGTTGAGAAGAAATGGGGGTGCTACCTGCTACCGTGAGGCGTATTTTAAAGTGAGTAAAAGAGTTTTATTTAACCTATTATTGTTGGTATGTAGTTGATAGATGACGCATTATTCTACAAAATTTAGTGAGGTTGTCAATTTTTATCCAAAATTATTTGTGACGTTTTTTTTTTTTTTTTTTTTTAATTTAGGCAACAGGATAAATAGCAAGTAGCAAGACAGTAAGTTATTTAAAAAAAAAGTTAAATAGCCGGGGAATGAGCTTCGCAAAAAAATATCCATTACAAAATTTCCTTTTAGCTACAACTGCTTTGCATAAACATCACTTTGGGAAAAATTTAAAGCAATTTCAAAATTTGCTTAAACCTCCCATAAACAACTTTCATGTGAAACTACAACTAGTATACAAATCCTAGCCAAGAAGAAAATAAGGATTAAAACTATCCCAGATACTGCAATTTCCCATCTCGGGGAACAAGCCGTTAGCAACATCATCGGCCATTTTCTCATGTGATCTTAGGACTAACTTAAATAGGTTAGAAATTAAAGGGTTTCTAAGGAATGGATTGATGGTTCTTCCAAGAACAACTACATCAGATAGTAGTTTGGCATCATTATTTCCAGATACATCGAAAATGCAGTTCGAAAGAGCATAAAAACCAAGTAAATTCGCATATAAGGGTAAAAATGCATCTTTGTGGTTACCCACGCCTCCTATCCAATCATTCCCTTCCTGTTTCCTAATATGGTCTTCAGCAAATGATACCAATTGATGCGAAAATCTAGCTCTCCATCCATGTAAATAGCTCCTGAGTTCTTTATCAGCCCAGGACTTCAAAATAGGTAGCTTTTCCATATTTGAGCAACAAATTTGGCTGATCAACAACTTCTCTTCATAATGATTGTCAATCTCCTTGTCAAAAACCCGTCTCACAAGATCTCCTTGAGGTGCTACACAGCTTTCAGCACGTAATACCCACTGACAAAGATAATCGAAGTAATCAATCCAGTGACCAAAAATGGAAGAGAGATGGTTAAAACTGAGTCTTATCACTCTATCTACTTGGATTGGAGCCGATCCAGAAGTTAGATCGCTTCTAGTTTTTTCTATAGTAAAACACTTCTGAACATCTGAGGAAAGCCTCAATCGAACTAGGTCATCTTCATCTTCCAAAAGTTTGATGCATGCAAACCACACATCAAGTACCTGATGAGCATACGAATTCACAGCTTCATTTTTCACAAAAGAAGATGAAGTGCCCAAGGGAATCCGGTTATTCAAAACAAAGGAGCCAAGTGGCCTAGCCTGCTCAAGCAAACCAGATGCTATTAGAGATTCAGCTGCTGCCAGGCGCATACTTGCCGGTTCAGATGATGAACTACATTGTTTAATTGTGTCACAGAAAAAAACAATGCAGTCAAACAACGAACCTAACATTTCCTCCTGATTAATTTCACCACATACTGAAAACTCTTCTCTTTCATTTGACAGAATAGAACTTGCAAACAACATTGTAATTCTCTTGGTGCATACCCCAAGACAGTGAACAAGGGTCTCTTGGGTTTTTGCATGTTTTGTTTGCTTGTACAAGGAAACTAATTCATTCCAAAATTGCGACAGAGAGTCGAAGCCCATTTCACCTACATAACTTGTACCAATGCACTTGTCATGGCTAGCCTTTTCAAACTGCAGCAAATTCCAAGCTACAAGGACCCTCAGAATGTAATATTTACATTTGTGGTTCGTCTCTGATGCCAAAATCTTCACCAAGGTTCCATGAAGGTTAGTTTTTGCCCAGAGTTCAACAACCCTGATGTCATTAAGGAAAAGATCATAGACCTTATCACAAGGTTCAGCTGCTTTCAGGAATTTCAACAACCACTTCAGTGTTGCATGTCTAACTTCATATGATGAATCTGACAAGCAGTGAATTAACCTATTCAAAAGACCAAAAGATGTACTCTCCATTCGATGTTCAGGCAACAATTCTGAAGTGGGAAGAGAATGTCTCAGTGGCAAATGGATTATCTCTCCCTCATCTATAGATGCTTGGAAGAAACAGCCAAAATAGGATCTGGCTGCTTGCTCACGAAGTTCAGCAATGGTTGGATCATAATATGACAACACATATGATTCTAAATCTAAGCATTCTGTTGACAACTCCAAAAGTAGCTTGGAAATGGAATAGAAATGTTTGGTGATCCGGCATGTTCTTGCAATATTTAGCATTTGATCCAGAACTCTTAAGAATGTTTCATTGAGGATGGGGCATGGGCAATGAGACGGCCTTGCAATCCATGACCGAAGTAGAAGAATTTGGATCAACTCACCGATTGTATGATCTTTCTTTGAATTATCAGCAAGATTTCTACAATTTATATCTAGCAAAGAACTCAACTGCAAGAGAATTCCATGAATGAAGTTGAAGGAAATACTGTAGGAACCATTAGTTGTACATGCAACAATTGGAAAAGTAGTTGATTTAACCAGTTTATCGACACAGGGCAACTGGGATGCAATATTAAGAAGGACTGATGACAATTTCTCATTTGATACTATACTTGTTAGAGCTCTAGATGCAAGAACACGAACTCGTAAATTACTTTGGGTTGAGCACCTTCTAATCCAAGGCATGAAAAGGAAAGGGTCTAGTTCATCTCCTGTTTCACCAGCTATTGATGAAGGCTTGAGCCTAGATAAAAGAATCAGAATTGGGCACAAGCTCGGATGCAGATTATTTCCACGGATGGATTCTGAATCTCCTGAGGATGCACAACCGAGAAATTCTGTTGCAACTTCAAGTTCATTGAATAGAAATGAATGCAGTGATGGATACCTGGGTTCAAAAAAAAATTTAAAAGGCAATAGTTGTTAACTTTTCACACTATCTCTGACCTTACAAACTCATAACAGACAGACAACTCATGATTTCATGAAAATATTACCAAAACCAGCCTCAACTTTGAAATGGAGCAAACATCTTTAGTGGACTGGACACTAAGAAGGAAGACCATGCTACAACATTCCAAATTTCCAATTGCAGGATGTTATGTAGATACATTTTACTTCTCTCCGCAATATAAAAAAATGATGGAAAAAAATGCCAAGTGAACTATTTCTAAAAATGATCTGATCCGACCATATCTACACTTAACAACAGGCAATATGCAGATTCTAGCACAGTCAGAAACCAGTGAAGTTACTTGACATCTTCAGGAAAAAAGGTGATATAGTACTAAATTTGCGATTATGCCAGTCATATCATCTCTACAGTACGGAAATGTTCTGATCATTAAGCCTATATCCAGTTACCAGTAAGCATACCATTTCAATGCGTTGATTATTGCCAAATATCAACTCTCTCAAAATCATGGAATACTAGGTGAAAGCCCAGGAATGGTTTTATACCTCTAGCACTTATCATAAAAAGATTAGGATCAGGTTTCTAAGATTAAATGGTAAGCATCTTTCTATAGAAATTCTTTATGATCCTATGATTTTGAAGTAATAAAACCTGATTCCATTCCATATACTTATCTACCTTTCATTCTATTCCATTGGTCGTTTCATTTCAATCCCAAGTATGTAAGATCAATATTCAAACTTTTATATGCATTTAACAAAGTAACAAAGTCAGTTTACTCACTGATGTAAAATAACGTGTAAAGCACAAAACTGCATATGTTTCACCTATGGCAACATCACTGTAGACCAAACAAGTACATATGTTTGATTTAAAAGACCTTATCATGAGGATAATCTAACCAAGTATGTATGAAAGCCACTTCAATAACTGGAGCTTAAAAGACTTGTCTAAATAAGAAATTTTAAGCACCATTTTAGGTGTTGAAGTCTAAACAAGTTCACCTTTGTGTTAAATGTTAAAAATTGGAGAATAAACAGAACACTCTTTAGTGTCATTATTTGCAGCCAATGTATTTCAACTTCCTAAACAATAACTCAAGAAAATCCAACACACGGGATTCACTATTTAGCCACATGATAGCCACTAGGCTAAGGGGCTGTTTAATTTGATAAAACATTTCTTGTATTCACTTTTAGAGTTAAATGTCATCTTATTTTCACTTTGTTTCCTATTTTCAAAATTTTGTACAAGCATTGCAAAAAAATTCTCCAACCAAACGCAAGAGAAACACTGCTACAAAGTGCAGAATAGCAACCAAAGGCCACACCACTACTCTGCAATAGCACACTATTAAAATCTATCATTGGAAGGCACCTACCTCGAAACATTACTCATGGGTACTGCAAGTAGCACCAACATTAGAAGACCATAAAAGCCTCAGGTATAGATATGTGGAACAATAAACCATTTTTTACAGATAAATTTCTTGGATTAAAAAGATGAACACATTCTTTACATATATAATGCTTCAAATAGCTAAGGTAATCAGATCTGATAGTCATAATATACCTATGAAAAAATTCAAGCCCAGTTAGTGCTCGTCGTGCTGATTCCCGCTTATGAACATTGAGGAATCCAATCATGCGACGAACCAAAGCAGTATAAGCCAGACAAGCACTGTTCCTGATCTCCCAGTATGGCGATGAGAAAGAGCGAATAGACAAAATCAAAGCCTCAGCAGAGAAACCGGACGTATCAGTGGCCAAGTTAGAGTCATTGAATGCAGCTCTTAGAACATTAAATGCATGTACTGTAGGAATGACACCTTCATCTCTGACCTTTGATGACATCTGTCCCACATTTCTTTCAGTTGGCTGTGTAGAATTATTTCCTTTTGCTGAATCATTTGACTTGCATGGATCACCATTCAAGTTATTGCTTTCAATCTGATTCAGCATAGACCCATTACCTACATCTATAAGCCACCGTAGCGCCCGTGGAAGGAGCTTCTTTGGGGTGCCTTCTGGCTCCGAGAGAAACAGAGCAATAAATGCAGCAGGTATTCCAGCGCTTCTTCTCAGCAAGTCATCCACTACTTGTCCTTTGGCCACAGTTCTTTGCATAAGTTGTTCCATCCAAGACTCTGTCAATGTATGAAGTCTGGAAAGGAAGATACAAATCAAAGAAATGGAAAAAAAAATTATATTTCTGATGTACTGATTAGGTCATAATGACAAAGGCTTCCTTATTTAAACCAGACAAACATAATTCTCTTTATATATGAGGGTACATGACATAGCCTAAGAATCTTCATTTCATCTTAAGAGCTTTGTTCATGACAAGATAATAGATAAAAAATTTACATCTTATTTATCACACATTTTCATCAGTGTTAATATCATTTGAACCTGATGCATTCATTATTTGAAAGCAATCAAAGCATGATAACAAAAAAATCCATTCACTTAGACCAAGTGAACAGTCAAGAGTGGATCCAATGAAATCTTCTCTCTACAAGAGTTATACTCCAACCAAATGCACCAAAGTATATAGCATATAGATAGAACATGACCACAAAAATATACAGAGCACCATATTAATTGTTAGTTATTGGAGTTAGAATTATAAGGGTCTGGATTAAAAATTGAGAATACTTTATTTGATTATTTAATGGTTTCTTGCAATTGCCATTACTTATTGGAAATTCTAATTCTAATTTAAAAAGAATGCCAAACATAATATTTAGATTTGCAGAGATTTATTTTATTAAGAATTATAATCGTCTAGATGAAGATTTGAGAATTCTTTATTCAATTATTTTTCAATTGCTTACAATTGCCATTGGGAATTAGAATTCTAATTCTAGAAAGTGTAGTGTACCAAACATGATATGTAAAGTTGCAGGGTCCACTTCCAGGATTCAATTCCAAGCTCAGTACCTTGCATAATTTTGGAATAACTCAATTGCGAAGGAAATAATGACATGTAAAAGCTTTCATTAAGAGCATCACATTGCCTCTAAACTTGTCATAAGATAAGGTTTATGTTTAAGGATTCATTTCAGAGTTGCATTCTTTAGTTAATCATGATCCTTAGTCAAATATTTTCTATCAAAGGATATCTTATCCTCCACCTAATTGAACTATTCCAATTTTTCTCCAATAAAATTTATTTTCCATCATAATGTAAAATAAATAACAGCTTTCATCAACACATAATTTATCTTCCTGTGTTCTGAATCCAATTGCCCTATGTAGTTTGTTCTTTACACCTTAATAAAATTTCTTTTTCCATCAAAATGTAAAATAAATAAAAGCTTTTATCAAAACATAATTTCCCTTCCTGTATTCTGAATCTAATTGCCCTCTGTAGTGTGTTCCTTACACCATAGTTTCTGATATATGAAAATGTCTTAATTTGGGTAATTCTTGTTATTCTTAAGCATTTAGATGTAATACTGTAGAGTATAAATTATTTATCCTGTATCTATAATCTGTTTTTGGGATTCTTGTTGTCCTGCTATATAGTTATCATCCCATTATATCATTTTCGGGATCAATTACTAATCACCCTATCAAGGACGAATAACTGCAATGCTGGTATAAATAGGCATCAGTGCATTTTGTAATTGACTAACTGTATCACACAAGTTACACACTACATAAACGTAGTCTTCTTATTGAGTATTCATTTCTTCTCTCTTAATCCTTCTCTATTTAAACCCAATAATTTTGAACAATAAAAGAACTTTCTTAATATGCAAAATCAGTTATGTATTTCATAGAACAGAAAAATAGAGTACAAAATCCATACCTCGGGTCATTTGAGCAAAGTAATCGATTGCAAAGAGCTGTGAACCCAGCCCTTGTCTTATCAATTGCACCATTATGCTTCATCTTCAAGAGGACTTCTAAAAAGTGATTCCCAATTGTTTTAAGTTGTTCCAAGTCAAGCACAGAATCAGATGAAAAGCCAGCAGTGTCAACAGATGGCCCCTTTAACTCGGATATATTTGAACAAGTATTACTCGGCAATGGCACCTTTCTTATAATAGTCCCCAAAAGAAGGCTGACCTGAAGTAGAAAACACAGTGAAATATTAGGAACCAGAAAAAAAATACTTAAACTGTACTTTTAGTCTCTATGAAACGGGCGGATTTTAATTTTAATCCTTGTATATCTCCTTTAATTTTCATCCCACAAAAATTCAAAATCATTGTTTTTAATCGCTGTTATGTGACAGTTGTATGTTGCTTGTGTTTATTGAAAGGTCAAGTCACCATCTTAGTAACATCTACTAGTGTTTGTGATACCATGTCAAGAAGTGCAGCTTCAAAAAAAAAAAATTCTACATCCTTAAAATAAATAGTATTGTTTATTTACCTTAAAATGAACAATAGAGGTCAAAATTATGATTTTATGTTCTGGAAGGATGAAAATAATAGAAAAATAATGTACAACGACTAAGACCAAAATTTGTGCATTTTATAAGGACCAAAGATAACGATTCAAATTTTGGAAGGATTAAAAAATATAAAGATTAAAAAATATTTAAGCCAAAAAATATGTAGCCATATTAATACATGTTAGATTTCACCTTAAAACAAATAATTGGCATTAAGTGAAGTTGCATAACAGATATATAAGTTGCACCTCAAGAATTGAGACAAATGATGTGGATCCTTCCAACACCCTCCCCTCCACAGATGTATGCCAGAATTAGTGATTTAGTGATTTACCAAGATGGGGAATAGACTCTCATATCATGTTAAATTTCATCTTAGAATAAATTGACATTATGTGAAGTTACCCAACAAATATAGTATATACAAGCCACATCCCAAGAATTGAGGCAAGTGTGTCAGACCATCCAACATACTTCAAATGCCGAACAACTTTCACTCAATCCATGATTGAAACAATATGCTATAATTTGTAAATGTTTTTTTGGCATAATTTCTACAATTATAAACATGCAAATCTACGGTCAAGAAAAAATTGATGATAAATTGAAAATTTTATTCTATCTAATCTACCCTTTTGAAGAGATAATACCCTATTATATTCTGATGTTTAAAAGTTCTTAGACACTGTTCAAATTAAGTACCTCTTTCATAGCCAGCCAGCAACCAACCATGACTATCTGTTCCGATGTTCGGCCATCATGAGAAGGCTTTGAATTATTATTCTCATTTTCAGATGAAGGCATATCCTCGTGATATGGTATCTCCATCAAAAGATTATCCTCATCAAGCATCTCATCCATGTCTTCAGGCAGATACCAAGCATCTGCAGAAACCACCCATAGTGCCAGTGAAGTTATCCTCACTACAAGAGCTAGAAGCCTTTCCAACAAATGTCTCAGCTCCGAGATGCCAGATGTTACGACATCAGAATTCCAGTCCAATTCCTCAAAAGTATAACGTAAAGCAAGCAATACACCATGGACAAAGCTGTTCTTACATGCTTTAGAAAGATCTTGTTCTCCATCTCTTACAGCAGCATCCAGCCAATCAATCATTGATTTCAAATACAGTATTACAGGATTCCTGAATTTACCGGACTGGTTAATTTCGTTTACCAATTCAGACTTTGAGCTTAAATGGACAACATTCAATGAATCTTCAATCAACCAGCCTAGCCCCAACACATATTTCTTAAATATAAGCCGTAAAGTTAGAGCTCCAGCATCACTTTCCCTTACACGTGGGCTGCAAACTAATTTCATAGATGAAGCAATTAGCTTCTTCAGCATATCTTCATTAGAAATTCCAGGTAGTGGGCTAGGAAAATGGAGTAATATGTGAAATGAATTCTCTCTCAACCTGTCCCAACTATCAACAATTGAGCCAACTAACAATAGAGTTGAGTCGGATGAAATCATTCCCTTGCTGTAAGGATAGATGTGACTTCCTGACAAAGAACTATTAACGTCCTCACTACTTGAAGACTTAATTGACCAAACATTTATCATAATCAAGATGAGATCCATTGCCATTATTTTTCTCTTGTAAGGAGCAGAAGGATAGCATGAGAAAAATAAGAAGCCACTCAACCACCTCATAAAGTGAAAAAGATCATCTGCTCTTTTAATTGTTGATTCATTATTCCCTTTTGAAGGATAGACTTCATTACCTTTATCATGCTCAAGAGGGTTCCAGCCTCCTTGCTTGAATTGCCTCTCGAGGGCTGTTCGAACCCTAGCAAAGAACTTACGAAACAAGCTGCTCCACTTCATCTGAAAAGCTGAGAAGCAACACCTCATATTTAAAGGCACAGCTACCTTCATTAGAGTAAGCTCTAAGTGAGAAGGCAGACTAGATGTCTTGGGGTTTAAGAAAAGAGTCTCAGCAGCATCTACACGGAGTGACTCGTCCACATGAGTCAATGCATTTACTAGCCACTGAACATGGACCTTAACATTTACTCCCTTTATGCAAACAATAGCATGGCTTTCTGTTCCCAGCCCAGGCTCCTTTTCGTTTGCTGAAGGATTTTCAGCCCAATCAATGTCCCCTTCAACCAATGCAAGCGACCGAGATACCTTGAGCAATGAAACTAGAATTGCAATTCTCTGTTCAAGATTCACTTCCTTGTTCGCACAACCAAGCTCTGGATATTGCAGTCTGTTCTCATCACGATTCGGCCCAACCGAGATGAAACCAAGCATGGGAAATATACCATCCACATCCACTTCCAGTAAAACCGGCAGGGCATAAGTATTTAAATTGGTGCGAAGCTTAGAGAATCCAGAACCTAGCCCATAAAGAATTGGCGGAAGACAATGCCCTCTATAGAGAACATACCCCCCTTCAATCCCCTCAGTTTCCCATAACTCATCACGCAAACACTCAAGGAAACACTTCAGAAACGAAGTGGCAGCACAGCAGACATCATCATCAACATATGCCTGCATTGTCTCAAACAGCAGGTCCGGACACATATCCAACATCTTCCTTGCACCCAATCTCTTCGTCAGCAGCGCCAAGGGAACATACCTCCCCTTACACCGCGACCCCAGTGAAAGAAGATCCGACCCAATCTTCATCAAAAACTCCTTTATCCTCTCCCCACCCTCACAGAGGGAAGACTGAATGTCCAAGAAAAGGTCAAAAATGAGATGCACCTGCTTCACCGTCTGACTCAAAGGATCCTCCAAGTTATTCCAAATAATCCTAAGCACCCGCAATCCCATTTCCTCCGGAATCGGCACATACTCCCCAGACAAGTCAGTCAAATTCGCCAACAACGACGCCTTTATCTGCTGCAAACAAATCTGCATCACGGTCAGCGCATGAAAGTTGAAGTGACTATCAACAGGATTCTCACAGTACCTACACAGCTCAGGCAAAACCCCATCATACAAGACAGTCTTAACACCACCCAAATCACCAAAATGAGCATTAAGCAAGTCCCTAGAAACCGCAGTGAGAACCCCTCTTATTAGACAAAGCCTACTCAACACAGAAAGACCACAAATCCCTGAATACAAATCCCCCTTACAAGGAATCTTCCCAATCGCATCCCTAAATTCCCTATCACCACTCAAATCCAAACCGTTTAAATTATTAAACACGCCTCGAATCAACACCAAACCAAGCTCCTGTTTACTAACACAAACTTGAAAAGCGGCACAGAGAGCCACACCAGCCGCTACAAAACAATCCCTGGAAAACGATTGGGAACTAAGCACACTCAACACAGCACTCACAGTCCCTCCAACAACATCATCAACATTGGAACCCTCATTTTCCCTAAACTTGGAAGGAAACTTCTGCAGCAAGTAATACAAGCAAGACAGCGCCTCCTGGCACTGCTCCATGACGACGGGCGAAGGGCGCGAGGCTCTGGTCTCCGAAACGACGTCGTGGAGGCCGTGGACGGCGTCGGCGGCGACGAGGAGAGCGCAGTCCTCGACCACGGCGGCGAGGTAGCCGAGCTTGGGCATGCCGAGGACGGAGAGCGCGGCGCGGGAAAGGGCGAAGCGCGGGAAGGCGGCGCGGCGGCGGAGGAGGGAGCGGAAGGCGGCGGCGAGGGTGGAGTGGAAGGGCGTGGTCTTGGCGAGGGGGGAGAGGAGGGTTTTGTGGAGAGGGTGGGAGTTTTCGAGGAAGAGGAGGTGGAGGTAGAGTTCGGAGGGTAGGAGAAGAGGAGGTTCGGAGTTTGGTTCGGATTGGAGGAGGCGGAGGAAGGTGGCGGCGAGGGGCTTGGCGTGGGAGAGCTGGGAGAGGGTGGAGGAGAGGGAGGTGAAGTGGAGGAGGGAGGAGTGGAAGGCGGCGAGGGCGGGCTCGGAGAGGAGGAGAGGGAGGGAGGAGAGGAACGCCGGCGGGAAGGCCACGGCGGTGTAGGTGTAGCGGTGGCGGTGCTGGAGGGCGCGCCACTTCGCCGACGACATGTTTGATGAAATGCCTCACTCAACACTGTGTGTGTGAGTGAGCGTTTGAAGAAAGAGGAATGAAGGAGGCGCCGCAGTAGGGTACGGAGGAGAAGGAGGGAAAGGGTTTATTTGGGTTTTAACTTTTAATGATGGTTTTTTATTTGAGTTAATTTTTTATATAATCAATCAAATTTTTTAAATTATTTTATTTTATTAAATAAGTAATTATCATGATATTATTAAAAGATATGATTGGTTGTCGATGTAAAATTTTTTTACATTAATTATATATAAGTGATTAATTTATTTTTTTTAATTGTGTTTTTACTCAGCAACTTTTTCATTCTGGGATAGTCTTCTTAGCTAGTGAAGGTTTTTTTTTTTTTCTGATTTACAATCAGGTTTTTTTATTTAGTTTTATTTACTATTTAACAAAATTAATTAGATGATAATTGATAAATTTAAGTAAACATGGTGTGTTAGTTAAAAAACGTTAAATTATATTTTTGGTTATTTATTTTTTAAAAAAATTTATTTTTGATTTTTGATTTTGCCAATGAACAAATCAATTTGGTTGAGATTCGTAAAATATGTGGTATTATTAACAAGAAATAGGTTGTTCAAGTTAGTTTTGTTAAATTAAGTTTTTTGGGTTGGAATAAAATACCAGAATTTGTATGGAAATGTGAGTATTTTGTATTGAAACATGGACTTTGTTTGTTCCCTTGTTTACAATTCATTTTTGACTTTGTATTGAAAATGGATGTACAACATTGCCCCATTTGTTTTTGACTACTAATGGTAATGTAGCAAGTCTAAACTTGATTTCATGTAATGAGTATCTTTATTTGTTTGTAATTTTTTTATATATTTTTATGTTCAATTGTTATTATTATACATATAGGAAAAAGAGACCTCTTAACTTTTTAAAAGTTAAAGATAAAATATAAAATGATAAAATAGAAGGTTGTAGGTGGTTATTTAGATAGAATGTGCGAAATTTTTCTCTTTACATTTAATGATTATATTGATTCGCTAAAAAGTAAAGATAAAAAATAATTACACAATATTAAAAAATTACCATTATTAATAATAAAGTTTATCGTTAAATTTTTTTTTGAAGGGATCATTAAAATTTTTAAAATATATATTATTTTATCATATCATTGTTATTTTAAATATAATAAACAATTATAATAATGGTCAATTGAATTAGTCATTATTTTTTTGTTTTATGTGAATCTTACAAGTAAAATTAAACTTTTTTAAATTTCTTTTGTAATCATGAGATATAAGTATGTAATTTTTCGGCACATGAAAATGTCTACATATACAACAAAATATTTATAAAAAAAATGTTTGTAAAAAAATTATTTTTTCCCTTTCAACTTTTTTTGGGACTTTAATTTTAACATAAAATAAAATTATAAATAGTAAATAAAAATTGAATAAAATGGTTAGCAAAATTTCAACCCAAAAAGAATGTTGTTATAAAAAAAATGTCCCAAAAAATTTGCCAAATTTTGTTATAATATTGAAACAATATTAAAAGATTTGAATCCCAAACAAAAATAAATAGTCAATTTAACTTTTTTTACTCCTAAAATCAAGAACTACTGAAAATAGAAAAAAAAAGGAAAATTCAACCTATTACAAACATAAAAGGTAAGTGTCTTTATATTACCAAATAAAAAAAAGTGTTTTTACTCGTAGGACATTTATATTACATAATGTATAAATTAAAATAAACAAAAGATACATATAATTACATCATGGTTTCAACCTAAGCTTCATCAACCCAAAATATCAAAAAGAAAAGTTTCACTTTTTATGAAAAGATGGATGTTATTCCTCTCCTATAATAGTAACATTGTGGCAATGAAACAAACACCATATCACTAACAAGACCCAAATGGATTTTAGCTCATCCTAGGAAGCTAGAATGAAGAGGAAAATGATCATGAAAAACAAACATGCAAAACAAGTGTGGAAAAAAGATACACATTAGAAGGGAATAGAATAGTGTCAATCAAAAACTCACTTTTCAAAAGTAGTAATGCTAATAATTAACAGTGCTAAATGCTTTCTCTTTACAATCTATTATTTTCACAGAAAACCTCTTTAGGCTTCGGCATTTATCTTCATTACAAGTTTCTAGAGGTGAGAAATGTTCGTTGATACATTAAATGCGTTTCACCAAATGGTCACTTCTTATTTGATCAAGAAAGTTACTTATCATCTTTAGGATACCAAAAGGACTCTCTATAATGTGTGTTAGTGAAGAACAAGTTCTATATCAACTTTTGTTGACTTTCTTTGTGATTTTAAGAATATGTTTTCCTTGGTTCTAGTGCAAATAATAACTTCATTCTCTTTAAAAGATTTGTGAATTCTAAAAAGTTTTCTTAGATTGTTCTATTAAAGCATCACTCGGACATGCAAAACCTAGTCGTTAGTCATTATAAAAAGACTTTATAAAGACAAATTGTATGCTTCGTCTGATTACACATCATCTCACTAATGGATTGCCTCTTATATTTTGTCTAATAAGTATTTCATAAAAACATTTTTTATGAAAGAAAATATTTTTTTATTATCATTAAAACTTGAGAGCTTGAGGGATCCAAAATTATCTTTTAACTTAACAACAAGTTTTTGAGATAATAGGTATGACCACAATGTTGAGCACTTTTTTTTCTTTTACAATGTTTTTTTTTCATAATATAGTTTTGTGTTGGTTTTATTTTACCTATAGATGAAAATATCATTCCAAAAGAAATGTTTCCATCTCTTTAGAATGAAACATGCAAACAAGACACCATTGCCAACACTGTCTTTTAGTAAAGGTTTTTCTGTCACCAACATCATTAAAACATATTTATTTCAATTGATTTCACAATCTATTAATTTTTTTAGGTTATGATATTTTACCAAAATATTAGGTTCTTTGAATTACAGCTATAGTGTTTCAAGTTGCAACATTTTAAAAAGAAAAAAAAAAGTCTACAATGTAAATGTTCCATCTCTAGTATCATTATTTCTTAATGATATAGGGACAAATGGTGGCCAAACCAAGAACTTCAACTCATGTTCATCATCTATTTCAAGTTAGTAACTCACTTAACTAATAAAAAGATTTTTTTTTTCGTCCAAAACAAAATATGTGACCTTATATTTTTTCTTTCCAATGCAGGTTGATTTGCTCCAAATTTAGAAACTATGATTTTATCATTTGGCATTTGTCATGACAAATATATTACACAATCTGAACATATGTTGGAATTTGTTGGCAAACAATAGTTGGATTTTGAAATTCAACTTGCAGATCAACATAATTAGAATAATTGTTGTCCTTTAGGTGATTTTTTTATACTAATTTATAAATACTTTCAATTCATAATATGTTGCTACACAATTGTTTATCACACAAAATACATGTTGATATATTGGAGATTATATTCAAAACAAAGACAACGTTGTGTTTCAAGAACTACTTCACAAAATAAAATTAAAAAAGCATGCAATTTAGTAAGTCAACTATATGCAAAACCTGAAAATGAAGATTAGATCATAAAAAATTATGTATAAAATATATACTCATCATATTTATTTATAATGATTAAAAAAATACATAATTTTATGTATTTAACACATTTTATAGGACAAAGATATAAGAAACACTCATTTTAAGGAAAATATTAGAGCATACAATAACATATTTTCATTTACTTCAATTGGTGGAAAGGTAGCATCTTATAGTAAATGATGGAAAATGTTTGCCCCAAATATATTAAATAGTCAATATTACCATTTAATTGAAACCTTATTGCCTTAAATTGGATGTAAACCAAAATTTGCACTTATATATATATGATACACAAAATGAAGCACATAATAAAATGACTCATTTTGGGTATGTATTCAACCTTTTTCAGCTTTTCACTCTTCTTGAGATTTCATTAGCAATTAATTTTGTTACATATACTTATTTTTTACACGAAGAAGAAAAATGATTATTGTTTGATATATCTTTTATTGAAGATCTTACAAAAATGATTGATGAGTTTAACTATCTAGCAAAAAGATTCAAAATGGTTAGAGATTTTGTAGCAAAAAATTTTACAACTAATTTTGTTTAAGATTATTTGGACTTCGAAGTAAAGATCAAAGGTGTACAACATAATGCAAATGAGGTTGCAACATTGATCATAGGTGACCTGGAAATGATAGATGTTAGGAAGAACATTGTTAAAAAGGTCGGGTGAACTACAAAGGCTTCATGAAATAAATACATCATTCACGTCAATATCCATTGATTTTTCTTTTTGGAGAAGATGAATTCAAAGAATATATTCCATATCAAGAATTGGGTAATGCTTCTAAAAATTGTTATAGATTATACGTTACTTTAAAGGAATGGATTGCATTGAGAATTCAAAAAAGACAAACTGAAATTGGTAACATAGTCAATGAACATTGTTTCAATAGTTTTTGGTTGATTCATATACTATTGTTGAGTCACAAAGATTGTCTTTTATAATACATAATCAAAAATCAATAAGGTCTGATGTTTTTAGTGGTTTACAAGAAGTTGATGTAAAGGGAGAAACAAATTCTTCTTTAATTGACAAACGTGTTATTTTACCAACATCTTTTATTGGTGGGATGATATATATGTTTAAAAATTTCCAAGATGCAATGACAATATGTAAGAAATATGGATATTCAAATCTATTTATCACCATTACATGTAACACAAGTTGGAGTGAGATAAGAAGCTTTGTGTATGAAAGGGGTTTAACAACATCTAATAGACCAAATATTATGTGCAAAGTTTTTAAGTTGAAGCTTGATGAATTAACGAATGACTTAAGAAAAATCAAATTTTTAAACCATTTATTATACCATCTCCTACCTTTAAAGTTATATTAACCGGTTTTTATTTCATCAAATAGGTATATATACTATAGAGTTAAAAAAAGGACTTCCACATGCCCATATCTTGAGTTACTTAATCCTATTTTATATCCTAAATTGTCAGATGTAGTTGTTGCATACATGATTCATGGTCCATGCGGGGCTGCAAATTGCAATTCACCTTGCATTAAAGTATTACCAAAAAAAGTT